AATGAGCCTATGTTTTAACTGTCAAAATTTTGGTCCTACATCAGATATATACATTTTGTACACGTGGCATTGAAGGATCATCCATTCAGTTTTGCTAAGAACTGACCCAAATTGTACTCTTCAGTGTACTGTGATTGGTCCCAAAGCTCCTCAAGTCCTCCCAGGATAGCCTTCAAACCTTTGCCTGTTCCCAATAATTTGGGGTCTACTCCATCCGGGTTCTTCGAAGTCGTAGCTCCCTGAATTTGAGATGTGAAAAAGAGAGATGAGACATTGTACCCATCTAGCAGAAAGCATTCTATAGGAGAAATTGTTGCATTAGAAAAACTTTGAATTTAATTCGATGACAGAAAGTACCCAATGATGTGGTTTAGAATTTAATTTGAACACCCAATAATGTGGTAGAAAAGTAAATGGACACTACTAGAATTACCTTTCTTGGTGCTTCAGCTGATGCAAATAAATCAAGCAACTGGTCGGTGTTCATTGTTTTCAGACTTGAATTTTCTGCATTGATGACTGCATTTGCAACTGAAAGTTTGAACCTTTGAAGGCTCATTACCTTTTCTTCCAGGGTACCACGCATAATCAGTCGATGGACATTCACAACTTTCCGTTGGCCCAGTCGATGTGCTCTGTCCATTGCCTGCAGCATTGCACATTAAATTTGTCACTAAAAACCCCCAGCATAAGAGCTCAGCATCCCCTAGAAAGGAATAACTGAAAAGCACATGGGAAAGAGAGGACATAGTATCCACAGCTTTAGCTATTGAGCATGAAAGCAGACCCAATGTCTGTAGAAAGAACCTTGATGCGCATGTTACATAGTCTTCAAAGATAAAATAAAATTTATGCCAATAATGCCGTTATTTTTCACTTGATAACCTTATGTGCAAGTCATTTCACAACAGGAGAATAGCTCATTATGCCGCATAAACAATTATTGATTAAAAAAAAGTTGATTCATTTAACTGAAAGAAATGCTCAATTTGTGATCCCTTCCTTCACTGGCGGGTGATCTGCAAACCTAATCTATTAAACTGCAAATGGACGTCCAGAACTTTGCTAGAAGATCATCCCAGAATGTCCTCCAGGCTCAGTGTAAGGGGCTATGGGTAGTAAATAACTTACTCTTTAGCCTGAAGGGAAATAAATTCTTAAGACAGCTAAGATGTTGGTCAATATTAATAGTATAAGGAAAATAAGTTTTGGCAATCAAAAGTACAGCAAAAAGACACAGTGAGATCTTTTGTAAAAATACAGCACAGAAGACTTAATTACCTGATGATCCCGCATTGGGTTCCAATCATGCTCCATGAATACGAGTGTGTCAGCAGATGTTAGGTTCAAACCAAGCCCACCAACTGCAAAAGAAAATATTAAGCAAAGCTGGCAACAGAATCTCAGTAGCATACATAAAAAAAGACCTTACCATGTGTTGTAAGCAGCAGGGCGTCAATGGTTGGGTCAGAATTAAAAGTCTTCACAATGTCAAAACGTTTCTCTGGTTCAACCGATCCATCCAACCGCAAGTATGTGACACTGAAGAAAAATGTGAACACATCAGCAAACAATACATGCAGCTGATACCAAACATGCAGTTCTTTGCTGGTAACACATACTCAAGAGAGCATAGTTATGTCAAATGTATAGAAATCAAGAGAAAATACATTCTGAAACATGTGTGAAAAAAATGTCATTCTCTCTTGAGTCTCAAATACCACCAGAGCAGATTTAATTCACGAGCTAGGACTCACAAAATATAAAAGATGGAACTTACCTATTTCTAAAATGATAATGGAAGAACCAAAGAAACTCTATTAGTTCTTTCATACATCTGCATACATACATCTCATAAAATATGCAAATGTTCGTTTATTGAAAGTTTCACATTTAGACCCCAAATAGAAGAACCAGTGGAAATATTGCAAGAATAAACACAAAAACTAAACTACATGGCTTTACAAGGAGGAATAGAAGTTGTAAATTCCTTTGCCAATATAGCTGGGGTTTTGACCAATAGTATGGGCTCAAAAATAGAGAACCCAAAGATCTCCTTAAGTTAAAGCACCTAAGAAACCTGTGCATATCCCTCTTAGATTTCTATAACGCGTTTATGCAAGAATTATTTCAATAAAAATAACTGCTTGTAAGAATAATAAAATTCTCTTGATTGGAAGTAACTACCTCCACCATCTTAGAAACTACCTTCAAACTTACCCTAATAACTAATTATGTCATTAAATAAAGCTAGATAACGAAATAAAATAATAACTCTATTCCAGCAGACACGTGACCTCCCAACGGCTGTGTCAGACATTCTAGCAGCCATGTGTCAATCAATTCCAGCAGCCATGTAGCTCATGACAGGCCTTGACATTAGATTCTCAATAAACTCATAAGTTATATAGAGGGTTAAACATAAAATTTAAAAACCAATAATTCTTTAAGTATTCCCATGATAGCATTTAAAGGATGGAAGTTCAAATAATACTCTGAAGCAACACTGCAACAATAAACACAAAACACAAGGTAAATAGAATTACAATTGCTACACCAGAAAAACATTTCAAGCACATTCCAAAATTAATTACATGCAGATGTAAAGATATTACAAGTTCTAAACCTCATTCTCAACCAGTGACAGTATGATCATGTAAAGGTTGCAATAAGTTTCATGAGAAAAATAGAACCAAAATCAGATAGTGAATGACAAAGACCAGCCTACAATCTGATAATTACAGTAACGAATATTAAGATCAGATTGAGGAGTTACATTAAGTAAACTAAAACAATGAAAGACAATGGAAAAAGTAATTCATGAAATAATGGATAGGACTTACCTCTTCATGTGGGTTTGAAACAAGTCCTTCTCAATGATGTCCAGCAGAGCCTACATAACATGACACTATCAATTTTTGTACAAAATAAAAAAGAGAATCCAAGATTAGCTTGATATGGAGTAGTCATTACTTTATGCTGTGCAAATATCAACACCCTGTGTTGTCCCACACTAACAGCTCCTTCAGAAGTAGAAACATCCACACCTATTCCACATTCTTCTAGTATCTCCTGAAGAGCAACTAGTTTAGAGAATAATGGGGTTTATG